ATCACTTTGCCATACTTGCTTCCGCACCGAAATCTGCGTAGATGACACGGCACGTGACGGCCTGCAGGTCAGTGCAGACGCGGCCGCGGCAGGCGTCGCTCGGCTCCAGACAGTCCGAATCCTGCAGGCAGAACTGCTCGTGGTACGAGCGGCCCGGCATGCCGTAATACTCTGTCTCTGAGACCAGGTCCGGCGTCAGGGTGCCGTAGCTGGCGACGCTGTTGAACAGGCGACACGTGCTAGTGATCCGATTGTAGCTGATACTGGCGCAGGCCGCGTTCTGGTGACACAGACCGCAACAGGCGCAGCTTCCGCCCTCCACATGGAGTACCGGGAGGACGGCGATCTGGGCCGAGGTGTCGAGGTTACCCTTGGCCCAGGCCGTCTCCATACAGGCGTCGGCCTGCCCGCGCAGCACAGCAGCCGTCCACAGGCCGAACAGGCCGCAGGCGGCGGTCAGGTACCACATTGCGAGAGCCTAGGTGCGCCCGCTTACCTTGCAGTCGAGATCGCGGCAGGGCTGTCGTCGTCGGACAGCAGCGTACAGCGGCGCCGCCGGGGTTCGGCTAGTGGCCTGCCAGACTGCTCGCGCTGTGCGCCGAGTGTGGCCAAACGTCAAGTTCGCACGCGTTTTAAGGTCACTCAATCGATTTGCAATTCCTGGGTAGTGGTAACTCTTAACTGCGTGGAACGCGAACATGAACCGCCATTTTATGGACCCTTGCGTCGATTTCAGTTTCTCAGGCATGTTTTGTGAAGACTCAGCGAACGAAGTGAGTTGCATCGTGCTCACAGGCATTAGTGAACCCCCAGCCCACCAACAAATTAGAGGGCACGCGCAGTCTGGAACTTGCAACTTAGAAACATATCCTGTTCTGCCTCGCTATGAGTTGAAAAAGAGCAACAAGTCACGACATGCATGCGCTAGATCGACAATTACGAGTAATTAAATAGAGCTTTTACACGTTATGAGTCTGCCAGATTGTTCAACATCACATTTTACCAGTCAGATTTTCAGGGGCTTCCATCCAGGATGGGCTACCTCATCGCCAGCAGACGGCCATGCGTCGTCCCAGCTAAGACACCATGCAGATACCACGATTATCCGCTGGAGCTCTGTCATCTCCGAGGTACTGACCAGTGCCGTGCCAACCCCGTGATCCTGACCCAGACCACTTCTGAGCAGAAGGAAGCCTGGTGAGAGGCGTCGCGTGCTCTTCTTCTTGTGCACAGGGCTAATGCGCGGCCGAAACCTGATTTTGTCCCCTCGCAATGTGAATGTGGCCCTCTTTCTAGCCAGTCGGCCGTCACGTTCCCCAAGTAAAGCTTATAGCCAAGGCCCGATTCTCCAACACAAGGCGCTTGCCACCGTGGCTGGTGGTGGCTTTGCATGCAGAATCCAATATACTGAGCGCATCGGCACTGGATGCTTGGCATTCACACATCGCGGACAGCCCACGTTTGGCCGATGCAGAGCCATGCTGCGGTGGCTGGGCCAGAGCTGTGCTGAACCAGGGCAGCACCCACTGAGCTTCGCGCAGGAGCAGATGCAACCCCGTGGCTCGGCTCAGGAGCAGACGCAAGACGTGGCTCGGCTCAGGAGCAGATGCAGACCCGTGGCGCGGCTCAGGAGCAGATGCAAGCTCGTGGCTCGGCTCAGCAGCAGATCTAAGCCCGTGGCTCGGCTCAGGAGCAGATACAGACCCGTGGCTCGGCTCAGGAGCAGATGCAAGCCCGTTGCTCGGCTCAGGAGCAGATACAGACCCGTGGCTCGGCTCAGTGCGTGAACGGTGAAAATTGGCTGTGGCCAAGCCCCTGCCGACCGGACTCGGGCTGAACCCTTGCCTCGCCAGTGATTGGTTACCTGAGGTGTCAGGATGCCCTTCATTCATTGCACCTGTGGCGACGTCATTTTGTGATACCCTTTGTGCACAGCGCCTCTTGGATGATGTCAGAACTTTGCAATGTTGATATTACTACAGTCATTTGCGAGGTAAAATTAGCTATTGTAGTTTGCGGGGTTAATATTGCCGTCTTAATTGGTGGGCGCTATAAACCTGACCTAGGCAAACTCAGCTCGCGCTATCATATGTGATAAGCACTCTCCCGCCCACACTGCTACCATGTTGGTCATTAGGCGCATCGCTTAAGCCATCGCCCAGCGGTCGAGACAGGATGAATCAGTAGCGCCCGGATGGCATAACCGGGCTTGAGGAGTAGAGGGGTCTCAACCTCAACAGAGGTGGACTGAACCAGCGGTTTTACAGAGTGAAACATTCTGGCTAACTTAAAGCGTCCATGCAGGTTGCATCGCTTCGCGGAGACTAGGCAGAGGAACATTGCCAACCTATCTACTGCGTCTAGTTCAGGCGTGTGGCTAGGCGGGGGAGGGGACACGTCCCTCCCCCCTTATGACCTAAGGGACTTCCACTACATTGCAGCGATGCTGCAGGGGTTTGGTGCAAAGTCTCAAGAACTCAGACTAAATTCAGCATCGACCCTCACTCATCTATGAGGGAAGTTCAGGCTTAGTGCATGGTCCAGCGAAATTCTAAGCCATAGTAAAGTAAGTGAAACCATTGCTATGCTCACAAACGACAGCGGGGTTGGCAATCTCACAGCAATCGCTCATCCACCGACGCACGGTCGGTGAAACATTCCAACCAGTGCAACTGATACACAATTTACGACCGCTGTACTCAACCCTACCTCTCCACGCCCACAGGCACTATGTATGGGAGGTACGATCTCCCACCACTCCCAACGGCGACCCATGATCGACAGCTGGAAACGCTGATGTGATTAGAGGCTACGACTCTGCGGTCATATCTCACTGCGCTACGTCACAACCTCCCGACTTCCAATCGTTGCCGGATGATCCCCGCTTCGGCGAAATCGGGCTACTTCAAAGCTGATCTACGTTTTGTGTAGTATGTTAACTCTCCGTCCAAGATGTAAACGGCCCCTCCAGCAGCTGCCGCGGAAAGTCCCCTGTTTGCTGTCAAGAAATTGCAGAGACGCCAGCCTCAGATACCTCGTCGCGCAGCAGATCCCATAAACATTGCTGCTCACCAATGACGTTGCATAAACAATTCGCCCATTCAACACTGGCGATCCACTGGATCCGCGTCCTTCTATTCTACGTGGCGGTACTGCGAGAACTGGTAGTTTAGGCCTGGTCGCCGTTACCGCGGGTCTCGCTATCGTCGTCCCTGGGTCATACACTGAAATGGAAAGGAGACGCTGGTGTTGCCAAGCTGCCCCCCGGTCTGACTCCCTTTCCCGTGAGCTGACACGACTGCCGAGAGCGAGGTTTGGCCGTGCACTGCAGCGTCACCTGCTACTTCGACGTCCACCCTGACCACGGAATGGTCCGTACCTGGCGGAGCTTGCTTTAATGCTGTTACGATGAACTTTAATAGCCACGAGTGTTTCGTGGATAGAAAAAAAATGCAGTACACGTCTGTGTGTATGTCTACGTGGGAGGGCCAAAACAGCGTCAGCGGTACTGTGTGGAAGCGCCAAAACAACGTCAGCGGTACTAGGTGGGAGTGTCAAAACAACGTCAGCGGTACTAGGTGGGAGTCCCAAAACAACGTCAACGGTACTAGGTGGGAGTGCAAAGACAACTTCAACGGTACTAGGTGGGAGTGCCAAAACGTCAGAGTGCCAAAACAACGTCAGCGGTACCAAGTGAAAGTGCCGAAACAACGTCAGCGGTACTAGGTGGGAGTGCCAAAAGGTACGCATTCCCTTGCAGGAATCGGTATGCGACGTTACCTGGCTGCTCACTAGGCTGCTAATTTTTTTACAGATTTCATCCGAACCTTTGAATCAATGGATTTCTGAGATCAGAGCATATGCTAAGCAGTGCTTGTTGTGTAAGCTCTGGACCCGACCCTAGCATCCGATAGCGCAATTCCAGGACAACGAGAGTTTCGTGGCGAAAGGTTAATGTGCCTCAGCGGTCGGCACCGTCTGTCCCATCAAGGGACATCAAGTGAGCTTTCGCGGTCACTGCCACCGTCTGCAGGTCATATTTGTCAAGAGCAAACAGCGGGCGCCTTAAGCGGCTCGAACCCGGCGGGTCGGAAGGCAGGCGCTCTAACCAACTGAGCCATCGGGATGAAGGAAGGACATGTGACACAGACATGGGGCCTGGCTCAGCATCCTAGCGCAGAAAAATACATGACACGTAGCTGGTGTTGCTGTTGTTTCCCCACGGCCGTAAATACAGTCGAAATGCTACACAGTCTGGTTAGAAAAGGCGTTTCTAAAACGCGGCCTACAGACATACCGTGCGCTTACCATACATTCGGGACCAGTAGTGTAGTGGCTAAATTGCGCGTCTGGGGAACCAGAGATGCGAGGTCCGATTCCGCGCGGTGCCCGCGCTTCCTGCCGGGGTGAGAGGCAGGTGACGCCACATAGTCTCAGCAACTGAAAGCATCGTAAAGCCCGAAGACACACCAATACTCGGTTCGCTTTGACACTGGTTACACCGGTGTGACTGAATCCACGACTCTGGTGACTCCAACACGTTGTATATATACCCCATCGGTTCCGATTCGATTAAGCATGAGCTCGAGATGCATCAGCAAGAACTGCCCTTCAGGTAAGGTTACCAGCAACCACGTTTACGTAACACTAAGGGAATGACGTGCAGAGATTTGTGCCGTCTAGCGCCTAGGCCCCTTCTTTTCATCCGAAGCCGTTTTTTCCCGGTCGGGACAGGTTTTTCACCGTCAGATCATGAAGCGGGCACGTGTTTTCGGTCCGGCTAGGGAATTCTGTGGTCTGGTCTCTCCCGACCGGGTAACTTATCAGCCGGCAGATTTTCTCCAGGCCGTCAGTCCGCTCTCCGCCCCCTCCCGAGACAACCGGGCCGGCCGTTCCGCAGCCGCCAGCCGTTGTTAGTGTCCAGCATCGGCCCCTCCAGCTCAGCCCCGCACCGTCTAGTGGCACACGTCACAGCTCGGGTTCCGCCCACCGTCTTCGCCATGCGGCGCGCCTCTCGCCTGGCTCTCATGTTGCTGGCCGCGTCGTGTGTGAGCAAGCCGTTGGCGGCGACCGGCCTCTCGTGTCGCGAGCTCTACAGTCCGTCGCAGAACGCGGTGGTGACGCTGGGGATGGACGCGCCGCTCTCGGACCGCTCCGACTGCAGCGGCGACCTGTTCCGCTGCTCGACCGTCACCCAGACGTGCCTCAACTCGCCGCGCGCCTGCGTCGGACAGTGCGACGCGGCCGCCTGCTTGCCGTTCGGCAAAGTGTGCGACAGCGTCGATGACTGCGCGGCGCTGGCGCCGACCGCCGGCGGCGCGTCGGCTGACGAGGCGCACTGCTCCGATATCCTGCGCACCTACCGCAAGACGCCGCTAACATCAATCGACGTGGGCCGCTTCTTGGCGTTCCAGGTGAGCCTGCGCACATGCGCCGCCTACTGCTTCTTCCACGAGTCGTGCAGCATGTTCAGCTACAGCGTCACCGGCAACCGTCAGTGCAAGATCGGCTGCGACGACTGTGGCTGGCGGACGCTGCCTCACCTGCAGGACAACGCCGTGCTCTACAACGCCACGGCGATGACGGGGCTGTTGAGGTCGCAGCTGGCCGCCACCCCAGCCGCCACCCCCTTCTCGAACCCCGCCGGGCCCTCTCCGCTGCCGGCGCCCGGCGTCTGCGGCCAGCGCCAGGTGCTAGGCCCGGACACCGCCAGTTTCGAGCTGGCGAGCTTCGGTGTGCTGAATGGTGGCGGCGGCGGCGGGCCGCGCGTCGCCGCGCGCAGTGAGCAGCGCGTAGTGGGCGCACAGGGCCAGCACGCCACCTACGGCGAGTTCCCGTGGATGGCGCAGCTGCAGCGCCTGAGCGGACAGCCGCAGCGGTACAAGCACCACTGCGGCGCCACCATTATCTCCGCCCGCTACTTGCTGACGGCCGCGCACTGCCTGCAGCACGCGCAGCGTGACTACCAGGCTACGGTAGGCCAGTTCGAGCTGCACCGACTGGACGGCCACGAGCAGACGTTCGCAGTGCAGGAGATGATCCTGCATCCGAACTACATGCCAGGCAACGGCGACCTCTTCCAGAATGACATCGCCATCATCAAACTGCGGACGCGCGGCGAAGGAATCGTCTTCAGCGAGAAGGTAACGAATACTAAGATAGACCGACCCTCACCTACCTGCAAAAAAATGTGTCAGGTCTGTTTGTGTCCCTTTGCGGAGGTTGCAAGCTATTATTTGAGACTGTTAATATAAGACGCATGGGGTATGTGAGATAAAAAGCTGTCTTGCTCGCGCTGTTGACATGCGCCTTGCATCCAATGGAATTCAACCCATACCAATTATACGTGGGCATGCGAGCGGTGGTTCTTCTTACCCCATTTAGTCACGCCCTCACTTCACATGCAATCTGCGCTGAGCACCAAACCACTCGTTCTCCTTCCATGTTATGCAGTGTCCGCACCGAGCGTTTCGTCAGCCGCCCACGCGTCTGACAGGAGCCAGCTTCACGTCACCAGGTGCAGCCGCTGTGCGTGCCCTCCCAGCCGCCGGCCGAGACCGAGCAGCCGGCCTCCTGCCTCGTCTCTGTCACCAGGTGCAGCCGCTGTGCGTGCCCTCCCAGCCGCTGGCCGAGACCGAGCAGCCGGCCTCCTGCCTCGTCTCTGTCACCAGGTGCAGCCGCTGTGCGTGCCCTCCCAGCCGCCGGCCGAGACCGAGCAGCCGGCCTCCTGCCTCGTCTCTGGCTGGGGCCGGCTGACCGCGCGCGGCGCGCTGGCCGAGATACTGACCGGCAGCGCCGTGCCGCTCGTCTCCAACGGCTTCTGTAGCAGCACCGACGGCTACGGCTCCTCCTTCAACGGCACCCGGCAGCTGTGCGCGGGCGAGCTGCTCGGCGGCGTGGACAGCGTGCGAGGGAGACTCAGGTTAGAGGACAGAGAAGAGATGTGCTCCAGGGAGAGTCAGGCCCAGATGACGGGGAGGAGATATGTGCCAGGGAGAGTCAGGTCCAGACGACGGGGAGGAGATTCGGGATAGGGTGAATCACGTCAGAGGAGAGTGGTGGGAGATGCGTGCCAGGGCGACTCAGTTCGGAAGAAAGTGGAGAGGACGCGTCCCAGGGCGACTCAGGTCCAAGGAAAGGGGGAGGCGCGTGACAGAGCGACTCAGGTCAGAGGATAGGAGAGGGGAGAGGAGCTGACGCGTGTCAGGAAGACAGGGTGGTAACGAGACATTGCCATTACAGAAAAATGAAAAGACAGCCTTCAGGTGCATGGGAATTGGAGAGAAAATCAGTGATAGCTCCTTCGCCAGCTTTTTACAAATTTACAACAAGCAGTTCGTGCATGAAAGCAAAGACAGAAACAACCATCTATGTTTCCCTGACGTAGACTAGTTTGCACGCACTCTGTCGACTTCAGAGGCGGGAGGGCCTCACCAGCCCGAGCAATGTAGTGTGGAAGAGAATTGCATGTGCCAATGCTTCCAAACGCAAACACTTGAATTTACCAACGTGGAAGTCATCCTCAACGCTTTTGACGTCATGTCGTGTTCCCAAATCGTCCACACGCCGGAGAGAGCCCATGATTTCTCATCCGAGAAAGTCTGCGGAACGGCGCTGACCGTCGCCTACCAGCGTGACTCACCGTGCACCGCTGTCTGTGTGCCGCAGGCGGCCCGCTGGCGTGCTACAGCGAGGCGGCCACCCCGCCGCACTGGTACCTGGCCGGCGTCGTCTCATCGGGTGAAGGGTGCGGCCAGCCCCTCCGGCCGGGCATCTACACCAGGGTCGCCGCCTACCACGACTGGATCGTGCGCACCCTTCGCTACCTCGAGAGCGGGAGAGTGTAGCGACACCGCCTAGTTTGTCTGGATTGCACGGACTCTGCCTTGCCGTTTTTGCCTTGAATGTGAGAGCGTTATGCCTGCGGGGGCGACGCGTAATGACACTGCGAACCGGTGAGAGAGAGAGAGGGGGGGGGGGGGGGGGCGCCACCCGGGGCTAGAGCAGGTTGAAGGGAGTAAGCCCCTTTTTCATTTTTCACCCAGATTATATGAGATGCGTCCAATATGATCGGCAATGCCAGCTTTCTCGAAATCCAGAATAGCTCAGAATTGCGATTTGATGTAGCCTCTAATGTGGTGGTCTCATTTGACGTCCTGCTCGCTCATACGGAAGTAAAGCATTTGATTTTGCCATTTCCCACGCGTGTATGCTGCCCAATTTTTAGCACATTGTGTTGTCAAAATGCCCGTGTAAAAATGCTGCACAAACTTGGAGTATTATTTTTAGCACAAAATATATGTAAACATGAAGCTATTATCCGACGAGCTCAACAAAACGTTACGCTAAGGTTTTGACGCCTCTTTATATAACGTTTGCCCTAATGGCTATTTCCTATGCGCACCTTGAAACTTCAACTTATGACACTTTGTGGCACTCCTCAGGGCTATTATTAGACCAAATGGCTCGGGGTTTCATCAGAGTACGTTTTCGAAATATGCCTCGATCAGTCGAGTTGATATCATTATACTTGCCATTTCAGACCGTGCAACGGAGACTCCGCGAACTTTTTTCGCGGAAATATGCTCCATGTAGCCAGGAGATCCATATTGCTAAGTTACTACTTGTGCAGCTTTGAGCATTTTTCAGAATTCAAGATGGCAACCACCGCCATCATGATTGCTGGTCCAGTTTCAAAAAAATTATCGATGACTGGGAGGTTCGCGTGACATCGGCTTTCAGCGGTGTTTGATGGCAGTTCAATTGCTGCAGCTATTTGATGTCTGAGTTAATGTCAAATAAGACATTACCATTTACCACGTATTATTTCAGAAAATGGTCCTCAACCTTTCCCCAACTACACTCAGGCAGATGCCCTCCTGTTCAGGATGCCCTTTCCCCGCTCGTTTCAAAACACACGCAATGCGGGCCAGATGTACTTCTGGGGGACACTGTTCCAAGCTGTTATGCCTCTGAAGGGAAGCGACCCTCACCCACTTCAGTTCGAACATGTGGCAAATTGAACTGCCGTCAGTAACAGCGTTGCTAGTTGAGTTGGCTGTTCAGTACACTTGCGATTATACTTGCGTGTGCATGCTCAATGCTCAGTGAACTCACCCGCGTAGGCCTAGCCTGTTATAGTGACCCCGATTGGGCCCCAGACGGCCAGACTGGGCAGCAGTAATGGGATGTCCAACACGACCCCAGACGGTCCTTGTAGCACTTGCTTGATGGACCGCGGCCTGGCCACAGCCGGGTCGTCCACCCGCGACCTAGCTGGGCCCCAGCCGGGTCGTCCACCCGCGACCTAGCTGGGCCCCAGCCGGGCCGTCCGCCCGCGACCTAGCTGGGCCCCAGCCGGGCCGTCCGCCCGTGACCTAGCTGGGCTCCAGCTGGGCACATGTTGGTAAAATATTAGGGTGCTTATGTGGCCTGGGCAGGCTCTGGGCTTCAGCGAGGGCTCTGCCTAGGATATAAGCGTAACCTGAGCGGATGCTGGGCTCCAGCGGGACATTGCCTGGCACCATTTGGAAGACGCTCTATGTACCAGCTTGATTCAAGTCCCTGCCAGGAATGAGCCTAGCAATACACCTTTCACAGCAGAGCGAAGTGCATGGAGTGCGCAGTGCATCCCACGCAGTAGAATAGTTGACTTAACATTCTTAAGATTGGGTAAAGTCAAAATTTCAAGTAATCGATTTTGAGTTTAACATTTTTGCCCTAATACCACCTGGTCAAAAGCACAGGTTGTTCAAAGCGAGAAGTTAGCCTCCGGCACGGTGCTGTTTCAGTTTGGACATCTCCTACTGTAAAGTGCTTATTTAACGACCTACTCCGAACCCTAATAACCCATGTTTTTTGTTATATGAAAAGACCATACAATACAGAAAAAGGCATCCAACATTCAGTCACCATTCGAAAGCACTCCGCTTTGGCCAAGGTCAGATTGCATTGCATAAACTTGACCTGTAATTTTCACCTCCTTTTTAAAGAGCAAACCTGACATGCGGCTCTCCTTTTCAGGAAATGAAATTTGACGATACCCGCTTCCGAATAACGATCATGACGTTTTGGGTTGCATTTGCTACCGATGCCCTCGGTTGGCTGTAGGGTCTGCAGGGACCTGGCTGGTGTACAGGGACCTGGCTACAGATCCCATCGGTTGGCCGTAGGGTCTACAGGGACCTGGCTGGTGTACAGGGACCTGGCTACCGATGCCATTGGTTGGCCGTACGGTCTACAGGGACCTGGCTGGAGTACAGGGACCTGGCTACCGATGCCATCGGTTGGTCGTACGGATCTGCAGGGACCTGGCTGGTCTTGCAACCTGGTTTCCAACACTTTTTGCCAATAGATAGGACCTCCAAAGACGCAGGAATTCACAGCTGGGTGATTTTGGCTATACGAGAGATGCCGCAACTCTCTGCATCACCTCTTATCTCACCCTCATCCCACTCCACGCTCGGAAGTCGCACCGAGCTGCAGTTAAGACTTCGTGGCACGCTATCTAAGATAATGTATCGTTTTTTAGAAGTTGCGCAGTACATCTTTTAAGATATTCTATCAACTATTCTGATCAAACGGTTTTTTGGGCTAGTAAGACTCAGGCAGTTTCAAGCGTACTTGAGCTTTGAAAGAAGATAACGTAGGGTTATTAGCGATGTCATGACCCATGGTCTACCACTGGCCACTGACTACGACAAATGGCTTCAAGCCTCAAGGTCTTGTCCTTACGTCGAGATTAATACCAGCTGAAATGTGGGACTGAGAATAAATCGAGAGTACGATGGGCGAGGTGTTAGCACAATACCGCTTAATATAACCTTTGTTCCGCAGGTAAACGCCACGCTTTAAAATTGGATTCCGTATTTGATCTTTCACAGTGAACAGTGGATCACAGGATTCAACTTTGTCCACTGCTAAGCAGAGTACTGGAGGCCTCATAGCTCCGCGAAGGCCAGCTCCCTTGACACAGCAGAGACCCCACTCGCCAAAGGGTTTGCAGCACACTCTGATATCAATGGAGAGGTGCCATGCGATCCCGTCACACAGACAGGGCGCCACCCTTCCCGGTCCCGTGGCCCTTGGAGTCCATTTGGAGATGACAGCATCGATCTCCTCTAGGGCTGCCGTTGCAGTAACTGGGTCTTTTTAACACGCGCCCGGGTGGCCAGCCGGATACCCGTCGCTCGGGTGGGGGGTCAATTTGACCCCTGAGATATCGGGAACTAGGAAAGCTAGATATACAAAATTCACGGGGTGTATTGACCTGTGCATGAACTCATTTAGGTAAAATTTTGAAGTTCCTAGGTAATGACTTTCGTGTCAAATAAGATCAAAGAAGATTAAATTACAGATTGGTCTCCAAAGTACCTCCAGAACCTAGATAGCTGTTTCTAAGCAGAAAGTCACATGCTCACTTCAGGTCAGTGACGTTGTTCGACCTTTTAAAGGTCATAGTGACCAAAATCATACAAGACTGCTCTGAGTTTTGCGTTTCAATAAGCAACTAAGATTACGCTAGGCAGTATGTTCCTAAAAGCGGTGTTGACCAGTGTCATTTTAGGTCAATTACCTATTTTGACCTCTGAGAGGTCCATGGAAAATGTAGAATGCGGTTTCAGCTATGAATAAATTCGAAATGAGCGCCACAAACTATCCGACGCAGCAAGCCCTTGGGTTATGAAACAGGCTGGTTTTTGTTGCCTAAGAAAGCATCTCGAGATATATGGCTTGTCAAACACTCTGTTATTGCATCAGTTTGAACGATTCCCTAGAAATTACCTTCGCTGAAACCCTAGTCTGACTGACCTGCCGTAGATCAGCGACCTTAGAAGGTACATCTAAATTTTTGACACCAAAAGATCTGTAATTCAATTGTCTACAGCTGTGCAAAATTTGGCGTGGCTACGCCTCGCCGTTCTGAGACCATTCAGGAAAACCTTAGGGGGGGGGGGGGGTGGTGGCAATTTGACCCTCATCCGAGTGTGCCAATGGCGGCAAAAAAAGGCAAATCAATAGCCTAGCCTAAAAATGGTGGGGATCTCTACTCGGTATAGGATTGCTCTTCTAAACCTACCCTGAAACCGAGTACCGCTTTTACTTTCACCGCTTTTAACTTAGAAACCAGGGGGTCATCATCGCAGCTTGAGAAATTGGTCGGACTGGCGGCTCGTTAACGGTAGGCGGTGACGTCACAAAGTCGCACCGGCTTGCGCGGCGGCGTTGCATGGCAACGCCGACTGCATCAATTGGAAAACAGCAGTCACGCAGAAATGTTGTGGTCTCATTTACTATCGTGCAGTGTGATATCAAGTCTGTGTTGTTTCATGGCCTCGATGCGTGCTATTATGTCGCGGATGTAAGAAATTCGAGGTGGCGTGTGAGCTTGTGGCAAAAGTTAGCATCAAAGGCAGTTTTTTTTTTGCAGCAAGATGCCATCCTGTGCAGTGGCTTCCTGCAACAATACTAAACGGCACAGAAAAGGCATTTCGTTTTTTTACGCTTCCAAAAAATGATCCAACTGTCCTAAAAACATGGGTTCACCGTTGCTCCAGGGCTGACACCATAAATGTGAAAAATGCGGTAATCTGCTCGGCTCATTTTCAAAATCATGACTATGACCCTGGCTATCTGGTTAAGGCCAGTCTCATGCCCAATGCAAAACCACGCCTGCGACCAAGTGCGGTTCCTTCAATGCAACTGGACATCGCCGGCACGCCGAAGTGAGTATGCTCCGCTTAAAAAGAAGATGCCCGTCTGTTTTATGCAAAAATATTTTAAGCCCAGTTCACCGTCACTAATGGGTTCATAATCTAAGCCGCTCTGTGCAGTTTGTTGATTTCAG